GTCGACCATCGTCATTTGCTCCGAGACATGCAACCTAATGAAAACAATATATAAAGAATGAATTAACTACACATATTATAATGAATGAATTAAAATAATATATATATATATATATACCTCGTAGACATGTATGCCTGATAAAGTGTTGTGGCCTTGACAATCAATTGAAACTGTTTTTTGCAGAGTAGGTGAAGTTTGATAGCACGATCCATCTGAAAATCATTATACTCCCTCCATGCATCTTCTATGTCATCCAATTCCTTTTTAGAAAGAAACTTGTTCATGCGATCTCTTATCATCTTCCTTCCCAAATCCATCAATTCATCATCCTTAAACGGATATATATCACCATACTTAATCCTTCCGTAAACATTCGGATACTTCTCCCTMAGTTCACATGCTTTCCTCTTTCCCTTTGCAAAATCATCTTCCCTACACAACATAATTGGATCATCTTGCTGTTCAAGAATCTCCACCATTTTACTGCTTAATTACACCTACCTAAACATATGTATATATATATATATATATACAACTCTAGCTACCTATCATATACTTTCCTATTTTATATAAAATAAATACCATAACCATTCACACTATAAAATATATACATATATATTTACCCATTCTAACAAAATCGACTTGTTATATATTCTACAAATAAATATACTTATTTATAATTAAGATCCCACTTTAGAACATCTAATAATTTTTAATATATTGATTATTAGGGCTTTTATTTTTTTTCTTCATTCAAACATCAAATAAGTTCTCCCACACACCAACATATATATATATATATATATATATATATCCCTTAAGTTTATATAACAAATTCCATATGAATAAAAATATTATATAACTTAAAGTAGTAAAATCATATTGTTTAATGTTTTCAAAAAGATTTACACCAATTACTTGTACATGTATGTTTTTATTTATTTATTTCAAGTCGAATGGGAAGTATAAAGGACAAACATTATTGGTTCTATTTAACTAGCACTGACTCCTTTTTGTGGTAATTATATTAATATGTATTGTATGGTTAAAAAAGCTTAAAACCTAATTAACAACTTGGTTCATATAAAATGATTTAATTAAAAATCTATCTAAATATTATCTCAACATACTAATTATTCGATATTCAAGGGGAAACATCAAATGATTAAATGAAAAAAGAATTTATAGTTTGAAAAATACTTTAAAAAAATGAATAATGTCATGACCAAATCACTATSGGATGTTAAAATTGGTATTTCATATATTATATATTTGTATATATGTCTTTTAAAATATTTCTAAATTTATATTTGCCCAATTAACCATCAATCATTGAAAACCTAGTCGTATTTTATATATTTTTTCCTTTGTTAATCATGATACATGGCCAACGTATATAAACAAGCCTTCCAATAGCTATGAGCAAGGTTCAAAAAGACATGAGGCGTGATATGGCAGAGAGGTTAAGCCTTAAGCCTTACACGCCAGGGTGAGTAGGCGACGTTTTCCAAAACGTGACATAAGACGACAAATTTGTATGTCATAAATAGAATATTATACATACATATATGTTTTTCATATATTGTCTAATCAGATAATAATATTACAAAAATGTACATTCATATTATAAGAGTGATCAAGATTGCAATGTCATTTAGGTTTAAATATGAAGTACAATATAGTTTTTGATATTTGATATCGAAAATTATGTGTTGTAATATTAGAAGGATGAGTACTTAATGTCGTTTAATACTCAAATTGATTTTTCAAGTAACAAGTTGTGGGATTTGCCATCTGTTTGCTATGAACTTGTGTTCATGAATGTTACGATATACATTTTTTTTATTACAACATATATATATGCCTGCCTTAAAAATGATTTGTTCATGAGAAAATATATATATCTTAATTGTGTAGCTATAAAATGACTTTATACTTAATTA